TCACAACACATGGACAGACTCAACCATAGTTTCAACTGGGAAACTGTCAGCATCTTAGACCGAGCTAAATCCAAAAACATGGGGGAATTCCTGGAAGCTTGGTATTCAGACAAGGCAGCCATCCACAGGCACATAGAGATAAACAACATCTACACATATTCAAAAGAGAGAAGAAAAAAAAAGAAAACAAAAGACCAGAACATCTCCTTACCAGCAGAAGACATGATGAAAACTCCTTCATCTCACAACACATGGACAGACTCAACCATAGTTTCAACTGGGAAACTGTCAGCATCTTAGACCGAGCTAAATCCAAAAACATGGGGGAATTCCTGGAAGCTTGGTATTCAGACAAGGCAGCCATCCACAGGCACATAGAGATAAACAACATCTACACATATTCAAAAGAGAGAAGAAAAAAAAAGAAAACAAAAGACCAGAACATCTCCTTACCAGCAATCATCACCCAGGTAAGCAGAGATTAGCACCAAGATTATCACCAGACATAGATTCAAACGGTAAACAATACCCTAATCAATGAACTACCAGAGGAAAAAACAAAAGAAAACAAAACCCACACCCACACCAACACTGGCAGGGCATGCCACAGCATATAAATAGAGAGCAAACCCCATTCCACTCTAGCACTGAAGATGTTACCTAGCTGGGTAACGAAATGTTTGCAAGAAAACAACCAAGCTCAGAGAACCCCAAGAACTCCAAAATATTCAGTTCACACCAAAGGCGTCACAAATGTTTTATGTGACCAGAAGCTTTAGCTACTTGTAGGCCTATTTATTCTGGCAAGGTTTCAGCCAATGCTGTTCCTGCCTAGGAATTCTCCTTGAAGAAGAAACTATGTTGCAGCAAGTCTCTTAGTATGGAAGATTAGACCCTCACCTTTTAATTGCTTTTAATAGTGTTTTGAATTACAAAGAAAAAAATGTGTTCAAAATTCTTTTCTTCCTGTGCTTTCCTAAAAATGCCTTAGATTCTAATTACTCTCTTTAAATTTTAACTATTCAAATTATTTAACTGAAATTTAGGAAGATGTACTGTACACATTCCAATAAAAGAGAATATATGTACACATTCCCCCCACAGGAAAAGTTTTAAATGGCTAATTTAATTCTGCTAGCAAAATAGGCCTGTACTTACATGCCTTCTTCTTTAATTATCTCCAAAAGAACTGTGTGTGTTGTTTTTGATTTGCGTTTTTCATCAACTGGAAAACAAGAAGAACTTTTAAATATGGTTTAATTTATTCAATACCCCTTTGAGAGCATCTTCTGATGTGATGGGGGAGCCAGGGGGGAAGTAAAAGTGCATTATTCATTTCATCTTCAGGCTCACTGGTTTAATCTAAAACAGAACAGTTGTTTTCTCCTTCATAGATAGGTCTACCAACTGACCACAAATTAAGAATAGGATTAGAAAAGTTGCATTTGTACATTACAAAAAAGAAATGTGTGGGTTTTTTTTCCCTTTTCCTCATTGCAAAGTTTAAGATTACATCAAAGTATTGTTTTATATCTGCTCTAAGAATAACTACATTTGTTGCCAGCTTTCAGTTTTCAAAATCTGTTTTCTATACTGAACCACCAAATTCTAAATGGTGAATAAAATGAAGTTTTTGAAGGGATTTTTCTAGCACCTCTCTGCATTTCTCAAACTGAGGTTACTGTATTTTCCTAAATTGTCCTTTTGCCATGTGAACATAACCTTCTTTCATGTCTACAGTATTATTGGGAATAAAGAAGAGCCAATCTGTTAGAACATCCAGATTATATCTTCATGCAATTTAGGAACCTAAGATAATATAGTTGTTAAATAGCTCTTTTTCTCTAACAACTCTAACAATATCATACTAAAGAAATTCATCAGCTTAGTTAGCAATCTGAAGGGTTCCCAAGGTAGCAAAGATTTTTCAAGTTCTGTTTTCTGAACATTATCAGAACAGAGACATGCTGTGCAGCATTCAGCAATATATTTTATAAAATTGTTAATATATCAGAGTGACTGGTTATTGCTGAGTATGCAATGTCTTAAAAACAGGGTTTTTTCATACTGAGAAAAAAATCCTTACCAAAATTTTTGGCATCCAAATTATTTTAGGGGTAATTTGAAATTGATAAAAAGCCCTGCTCAGCCACAAAATTCATCAGGTGCCATATGCAAGTCAATAAGTAGTAGCTTAGCATACCTCCAAAGATTATCAGATAAAATAGATCAGCTACTGCCTTGAAAAAATTGTAGGATATGAATGCAAAAACAGGTTGATACGTTATATATATCAGTCCCAAAGTCTAAATGTAAAAGAAGGTATTTGCTCACCTTGAAGTCTTAGTCTAGCTGTATCCAGAGGAAAAAACACAGTCATTGCTGTCACACTACCCTAAAACATTTACCACAGAAAATTAGTTATATAAAGCATACAGTCTTTTTGCAAATCTGCAATCTACATCAAATCAGATCCGTTTATTACAGCCATATGACCAGATACAGTAAAATATCCAATAGTAAAACATACACGTAACAATATACATCTATATATTAACAAGAAAACAGTGAGTATAATAGGATCTAAAAATAAATAAAAACATCTATAATAAAATAAAAAATAGTGCATAAAATAAGTATTCAGGTTTAATTAATAGTACGACATATTATACAGACAGTAGCACAAAACTTGGCAACTTGGGAGGATATTTTTTGAGTCCTTGTCCGAAAGAAAGCTACATCAGACATTATGAAGTATGGCAGTGAAAAAGCTAAAACACAGAATTTTGTGGTTCTGATCACTGCTATGAAAATATTTATTTTTAAAAACTACATACGATTTCCCATTAAAAATCTCATCATGGTTCACAATAAATTAAAGTTCAGTTTGATACTTTTTGCATCTGGAACAGAGATTTTGTGCATATTCCAGACACACTGAAATAATTGAACACTTTAATACTTAAATATATTTTATTTACAGCCTGACATAGATTTTTTTTTAATCACACAACTCCCTATTGTAACTAATAAATTTTGCATGTCCACAAACTACATGTATATTTAGAAATCAAACTTTGACAAGTTTCTAGGATAAAATAATTTCTATAGATGAAGGGCAGCCATTCTCCATAAAGTCTTGCAGTTCTGACAATATCTTTGGGTGGAAGTAGAACATTGATATATTATATACAATCTATCCCTGTAGCTTTCTATCCATGGTTAATTAATCTTTACTATACTAATCAGATATTGATTAAAGGGAAGGGGGAATTAATACAAAAAAAATATATTGTATCCACAATATATTGAACAAATATAATGTTTTTGACTCATTAGTTGAATTGGGTTCTCTTTATCTAGTTTTAGAACTTGTGTGGAGAACAGATCACATTTTAGGTCATATTTATGCAGAAATATTGAAAATAAAAAAGGGCTCACATGTCCCAAACAAGCAACTAGGTAAAGGAAAAACATGTTCTAATTGCTTATCTGATTATCAGGATTATTCAGACATGTGACAAAGGAAAAATGTGAAACTGATATTTAGCAACCTGAAAATCTTTAAAACTGTATCTGAGCCAGAAGTCAATGAACACATGAAATAATTCTAGTACATTCTCATTTCTGCTCCACCTATGCAGGTCTGAACAAGTTAGGATACAATGGGTAGGTCGACAATTTCATATGCAAATCAATCTTGAACTACAATTTTTTAAAATGAGCAGTATTTAACTGCTTTCCTGGACTGAGCAACTACCCTCATATAGAAACAAATATAAAATACAAGACAATTTCTATAATTGTATCATCTGATTCCTGTATATGAAAGAAGAGCCTTACAACAGTCAACATAAGCCCTTCCTTCCCTTCTTTTAAGCTGTAAACCGCCCCCTCCCTTTAAAGCAGCGTAAGGCCACACCTGTGCTCCAAGAGAATGATGTCTTCAGCACTTAGATATGGGTGTGTATTACATGTTACATGTTGAAAAGGGCAACTGCAATTATAAGGGACAGCAGGAGAAGTTAAGGTTGCAGGTGAGAGGAGAGAATGCCAGGGCAAAGATGGGTAATTGACAGCGTGGGAAAAGGGGGTGTGCAATTCAGACTCAAAAGCAAAAACACTGACAAATAACAGCCATCCAACAGCTGGTAAGGAACTTTTCCCTCCCTAGCAAAAGACTGTAAGATGCTAAAGTCCCCATAAGAATTCAGGATGGCAGCAACTGGTACTTAGCTGAAAATATTGAACTGTCAGCCAGCAACAAAGCCAGCTAAACTTAATGTACCTAAAGACTGGCTAAGAGGTGGCTATAACTGCAACTGAGAAATTTCCCCTGCAACCCATAGCTGAAAAAGCAGCCAAAGACTGGGCTAACCAAGTCTATATCTTTACACAGGTGTAGGTAATTCAAACCTGCCTGTAAAAGAGAAGGGGGAAAAGAGAACAAGGATTTTATGAAAATTCATAGTAACTATAGGTAAGAATCCTTAAAAGTAACATAGTACAGGTAGTCCCTATCTTAAGAATGAGTTCCATTCCCAAGGTCTATCCTTAAGTCGAATTTGTATGTAAGCTGGAACAGTATTATTGTATAATACTGTATAAGTAGTGTTGTGTAATTAACTTGAACCATTGTGTATTTAACTTGAATTTTGCTACAATAGGCTCAGTTCTTAACTATGGGTCCTCCTTAAACCAGACGTTCTTAACCCAAGGACTACCTGTACAGGTAAAAATAGGGGCCTAGCTATATAGTTATACTGTACTGATAAAGGTAAGAAATAAATAAGTATCATAAATTTTGTTTAAGGGTTGTATGTTTTGGTATAATAAAACTTCCCTTGTAGCAAAGGGAAGAAAAATGACACTTCTTGTTTATGGTATGTACCATTTACCAAAAAGAACCCATCACACTATGAAAATGGCAGTATGGTGTATTCAGAGTTCTGAACTTATTCTGATATAAGAGACTGTAATAGCATGGATTAAGGGAAAAAATGGCTTCTTTTGTTTGTTAAGCACTGTAATTTTAAGAATGTGTGTGTGTGTGTGTGTGTACAGTAGGTGTGTATATACACAGTACTAACATTAGCCATCTTATTCTGACAGACATTTAACACCAATGGTGAGGAGGGGCTGGCTTAATGAAATTATTAATTTTTGTTGATTCTTTATTCTGTATCTCTGATTATTAGTTTTATTTTTTTTTAATCTGGATCACTGATTATAATAAAGACACATACTGTCTATTTGATTCTTGGATTGTACGGTACATGTTTAGAAATAAGTTTAGAAATAAAAACATTTAGAAGTAAAAAATATAGCTATATTTTTTTGCAGCTGTGAAGGTTATTTATTTATATTTTTTATTTTATATATCAAATTTGTCACTGCCCATCTCGTTGAAATGACTCTGGGCGATTTACAAAAGGGTTAAAATCAATTAAAATTGCAACGTACAATAATCTTAAATAAATAGAAAATAAATAGATCCAAGGATAGATATAAAATTGGCAGCCATTAAGGCACCAGCCACCCCCAGGATTGGATAAGATTGTTGTCACCCCACGCAAGCTGGCAGAGCCAGGTCTTTAATCCTTTCCGGAAAGCTGGGAGGGTAGGGGCCTGCCACACCTCTGGGGGGAGAATATTGCAAAGGGCGGGGCAACAGCAGAGAAGGCTCTCCTCCTGGGCCCTGCCAGCTGACATTCTCTCACTGATGGGGTCTGCAACGTGCCCTCTCTGCCTGACTGGGTGGGACGGGTTGATGTGATGGGGGTTTCGTGGACCTGTTTTTTGTAAAAGGGTTGGTTCTTTCCTATAAATAATATATACTTGTATAAATATTCGATATACTACTCAAATCACTGATTCTATTCATATACACCATTAACTGCCAATTATAAAAAAGAATCCAAAATTATTCGGTTAGTGACTACATAACCAGAACTTCTTTCCCACTGTACTTTATAAGATCCACTGATATTTAAAAGCTAACTTTTAAAAAGTGAAGCAATAATCAGAAAAAAACCCATAATACTGAACTTTTTTCTATACAGGTTATAGACCTGAATTCCTGAAGAAAATCTATGTGAGTGCCAAGAGTTGACACCAACTTGATAGCACATAATCGATCAATAGACCTGAAGAGAAACAACTGGTGTTAATTGAAATTAAAAACAGAAATATTTTCTAGAAGACAGAAATTTAGGCTGGTATCTAAAGTGAAAGCAAGTCATCTGCCAAGTCAAATTCAAGGTTCAGTTACAAATATTACCATATCCTGATAGGATTCTGGATCCTAGACATTGATCAGATTTGCAGTTAGGTGAAAGTAGGCAACCAAATGATCATTTAACCCAATGTACTGCACAATTAATAAAGCTATATGTCAAAATATACCATGGAAGTATCAGTCTTCCTTTAAAAACTGCAACTAACGTTTGTATCATATTATTTAAAACTGAACCTCCCAATTTTTACTGAAGCCATTCAGGAGGAAAAATGTAATCTTTTCTTTTGCAGCAATGGTTTTATTGGTAACTTATGCTCTTCAGGCTCCTGTGCAAACGGAGCGTAAATGAAGTAAATAACAAATAGGTAAATAATAAATAGGATGGCAGTTCAGACTAACAGGCACCAGCTGAAGCAAAAGTTAGGAGGAGAGCTCGACCTCGAAAGCTAATGGCAGTTTATTTTTTAGCCCAATGCACCGATGGCGGGGGGAAAGATGAAGGTCCCCTCCATCTCCGTGGCTTCCTCTCATCCAGCAAAATCCTGCCTCCCCACCTCCGGGTCTTCCTCACACCCGTTCCGTTCGCAGCTAACTCACCACAGCTCCAGCCATGGCATGGACCAGGCTCTCGTAGGAGAAGACGCCGACCATGGCTGCACCTTCGGCAAGGCCTGACCGCCGCTGCTACGAACTTCCCCGGCTGCATGAAAGAGAGCAGAGAAAAGGAGACGCTGGACAGGGAAGCAAGGTAACACCGGCACCACCCCTGGCCCGGACACTGCCGTGCCATGTGACGTCGCCATATGACGTTCCCTGAATTCCGCCAATCACACGGCGGCCCTTACAGTCATCAGGGAGTAAGTCTCAGAGGAGGAAGGCTATTCGCGCTCGCGTGCTGCTTATCCCCTCCCCCAATTTAAGACCGGCGAGAGCAGTTGTTCTCCTCTTCGGCAGCGGCCTCGCCGCGTTCTCGGCTGTCAACTTTGTTTTTGGAGAGTTCTGTTCCAATTGGCAGAAAAGCAAAATAAAGGGCTTTATTCCTCTCATGGCCGTTCTATTTGAGGGACAGGCACACTTCTGACAACTGAAAACGGGTGGTCATTAGCGGTGGCCAGAATAGCACGTCAAGGCCAGTCATGTCCAAGAAGGATGTACCTTCCGTTGAATATTGAAAAACCTACTTTGAAATTAAACCTATTTTAAAGAAAATAAGTGCGGGTGTATCTTTGGAATTTCATACGACGATAGCACTGTCTTTATGTCAAACGCAATATGAAGTGCTGGTAAATTCTGTAAGCCGATATTTCTTAAAGCATGGCCTGGGGGTCCCCCGAGACCCTCTCAGGGGTCTGGGAAATCAAAATTATTTGCCAGATATTGGAGATATTTGCAAAAATTTAAAACAATGTCACTCTTGTGTTTAAAATATAGGATTTTTTCGTGAAAAATATTTATGTTAATATCTAATGGGTTTAATATTGTTATTTTTACATGATTCAATGTTCTAAGAATGTGTCATTTTAATTTTTAATATGTTAGATATCAATAAATATAGCACACACAAACAAAAGCTCTTTTGGGGTCCTCCATAATTGTGGGAAGGGGTCCTGAGAGCAAAAACACTGCTATAAGCAAAGTTCTGGTAGCATCCTTTGCTATGATTAATAAGTTGCCACTAAATTCATATTTTGCCTATTGTGCGACTGCACAAGGGCAAAAGATAAAATTAGGCACAGACTCAATATGCTCATTTGAAATTTCACACAATAAAATGGCTAATCTTGGTAATGATTTATGAAACTTCTTCAATCAATCAAACATTTATTACAGCAATAAGGGCAGTGATCAAATACAAATAAAACATGGATGGATGGATAGATGAATAGAGAGAAGAAATTAATACAATTCTTCAAACACAAAAAAAAGATGGTATATATGGAGGTACAAAACTGAGCAGCTCTGGAAGATATATTTGGATACTGGTCAGACAGGAGAAATAACAAATAGAAATCCTATTCTCTTCCAGGGAATTTCTTCAGGATAGGAAGTATGAAAATAATCTAGGATTCTCTGTATAGGAAAAAAAGGAGCATATGGCCCAAAGATGCGACTGAGGCATCCCCACAGGGACATATGCTTTGGTGGTGGGGGTATTTTTATAGCCCTCCAGTAGAATGGAGAAAAACAATTATCCAGTCTGACCAAAGTGAAACCCAAGACTTAAACTGATTTAAGATCTATATCCCAGACACGCTACTTAGGAATACTTCTGGCATTTTCAGAGCCTAGTGGGCAGACGCTGTCCAATGAAAATCCTAGGGATGAAGCTTGCCAATAACTTTCTTTTAGCGAGGTTGACTTAAAAAGTTCTCTGAGAAATAGTGGGGACAAACCTGCTGGGGAACAAAAATTAACTTTAGCCAAAGGTTTAAAAGATAGCATCAGGCTGAAACATCCAGAGACCAAGCGTCTCGAAACATAGAGCGGCATTCTTAATACATCTTGAAATTGTAAGGATAGTTCTAATAAACTTAGATTGGGCAATTGTACACCACAGAGAAGGTGAGAAATTATCTTGGCTATAAAGACATTGCAAGCTGTAAGGATGAAGTGAGTTCCTTTCAAATGATTATGTTGTCTGCATATAAAAGCACTGGAACCACTCCACCTGCTAATGCATGGGCGGGGAGATTAATGTAGAAACCAAGAGGGCCTGAAATACTGTGTAATATACAAATTAAAAGGTAAGAGGGCTAAAATACAACCTTGCCTTACCCGCAAGGAGTGACAGCTGGAGAGAGTGTAGAAACAGCTCCAGAAAAAACATCACAAACTCTTCACTTTAAGAATAGAGACTGAAAGAGAAGCTGCAATCTTTTGGGTACTGAAGATGCCCTTGCTTTTTTCTCACAGCCTCTCCTTGGAATTAAAGTCTGATTTGAAATCAATGAAGACTGTGAAATGAGAATCTCTGGGCTGGGAGGAATATTTCTTGGCTAAATGGTGAAGGAGCAGAAAGTGGTCCAGAGCTTAGTGTCTCCTCTAAAACCTGCCCGTTCCTCAGCAAGGATGCTTTCACTTTTGATCCAACTGGATTGACACAATTCAACTGTATACAGGAAGCTGATGGATCTACATTTATTTTGTTTTTATAAAATGGGGTGACAGTGTTACGGCTCCAATCAGTATGAAAACATGCTGAACTGATAATATGGGCAAGGAAGCTAGCCAGACTGTCTTATTTACCCATATTAGGTACACACTCAATATGCTTTTGAAATTTCACATTCATTGTAATGAATTAATTATTATTATTATTATTATTATTATATAATAATAATAAAATAATTATAATTATAATAAGTAATAATTCATGAAACCTTGTTTTTCTCTATTCTCTTCAATATCACTTTAGTAACTACTAAACAAGTTACCATCCTTCTCAAAAACTAATCCCATTGATCTTTGTTTCCATGTTTGTCATTCACCTTTGACATAAAACACATATAAATTAGCAAAGTGATTCCACTAGTTTTTTGCTGTGCAAGGTTTATATAATTGTATGCTAGTTGTTCATGCTCTTAAGTATATTTCTCAGACTGTATGAAATTTAAAGATCTGGGTAGATATTGTGGAACAGTTATTGCCCTAGCGCATATTTTTTTGGCCCGCCTTAGCCTCAAACCAGTTTTTCAGGTACTACCTGCTTCAAATAATATAGGTACAAGCCAAATACTGCAACTGTGGAAAGTTTCACAAGCAGTAGCAGGCAAGGTCTATGATGTAAGTAGCATCAGCTGAGTCATACTGATTTCTTATACTTTTTGTTAAGGTGAGGTAAATAAAGTCCACTAAAAAAGATGAATGTCCATACATTTTTGCAAGTTAAAAAATTAACTTTTGCAGTATGCAGACTCTGCTCCAATATATTAAAAATAACTTTATTTTCATTTAACTAGGAAACAGGATAAAGAATTAAAGTTCTATCCTGTAATCAAGCTCCAAATTACATCTGAACATTTATCAACACTGTAACAATAAGGAAGTTGCTACTACTCTAATTACCATGGATCACCAACTCACCCTGAAAAGAGTTTAGAGAACTGAAATATTCTGAAGAAAGTATTCTTAGAAAATACTATATCTTGCATGTAACTGCAATATACTCATTCAACAATCCAATTATATTTTCCTTAATCAAAGGGAAAATTTCTCTTGTTCCATCTGATATAGAGGATATTGTGAATACTATCTCTCATTAATTAAATTTTGACACAAAAACCAAGAAGATTCTTCAAAACCAGTCTTTATTATTTTAAAGGCAACTAGAAGTATTTTCATAACTATTTTTAAAGCAAAAATGAATTCATATCTCCTTTCATTTGACAATTACTATATGGATTTTATTCTAAGAATATATTGAGTTTCTAAACCAGTTGAGGTTTAATTAAAATGAGAAAACATACATCACTTATAGATTCAGACAAAATTACAAGAGCACAGAACAGGGAACATTCAAAAGCCCTAGAAAAAAACAAAACCTAATTAGAACAGGCCCTCCAACATTGAGCAGAAAATTAAAAAGGTATAGACCAATACCAGATTTAATTGTGCTAGCTATCAGTAAATATTTCATAGCAAAGTTTTCAACGAATAGCTTTTTTCCCTCTCTTCCTTATGTCCCATATGTATTAATATGACAACGTGACATTAGAGAGACAACTGGTGTATATACCTTTCTAACTTAGTATCTAGGGCATTACCATTTATCAGTTATATCTTTTACCTACATTCTGAATTGTATAATGGATGTTACACAGTAATGGGAACCACTTTGCTTCCCTCCCTCAAAACTAAGAAATTAGTCATGTTCAATAGTGAATCAGTACAAATAACAAAAAGGCTCCCAATCATTCAGGTAATCAGCTTACTGGTGTCAGTAAAACATTTGCTCACTGTGACATAGATGAGTAGCATGTTAATCTGCTCAACACTGATTGTAGAGTTTCCAGCCTCAGTATCATTTGTACCAATATATTTAAAGCCAAAGCATGCAACATTAAGGATGTTTCCTTCCACTGCAAGGATATGATCCATGAAGAGTTTGATTTCAACAGTTTAAGTAATCCTTGTGAATTTAAGAATTGAAAATGAATGCTGTACTATTTCTTCCAATTAAAATAAAAACGGCGAGCTTCATTTCTTTATGTTAGAACTTAAACAGTCCAATTATCCAAACCATCATAAACAGAACCATCATTCCTCCACTCCAAACCTCATCTTTTGGATCAATCTACTGAAAGGTAACAATTATACAATTTAAAAACAAACTGCATTTTCAGTAAGAAAATTATGGGCATGGTAGAAAGGGGGGGGGTATTGATTTTTATGAACCTTGGATACAGTTGTGAACTAATATTCATTTCTGAAACAAAGAGGAAGATGGAGTCTATCCAGAGCACCCTAATTCTCATTTGAGAATTAGCAATACAATGGCTTGTGTTATTGTCAGATACAATAAGCGATCAATACTTCCCCCATGTTTTGCAATGAAAAGAAATTTTATGGTTGACTTCCAAATTTGGATGACAATTTGCCAATGAGATTCATGACTTTTGGGTTATTCTGGTATTTTGACATATTTGCTGGATTCTGGGCAACATCTTGGAAAGCTGCCATGACTTCTGGGTCCTGTAAAATAAGAAAGAAAAGACTGAAATGTGCCTGTAGGATAGTATAATGTGAGTTTTTATGTATAGCTATGTTTCAATCCATCATAAAATATAGTATGAAGTAGTATATTATAGTGAAATTAGTAGGGACTAAACACTCATTTGTTAGATTATATAAGCCCCTTCTTGGATCAGGAGACTCTCCGGTCAATCACTCACGCCCTGGTCATCTCTCGGCTAGACTACTGCAATGCGCTCTACGTGGGGCTACTCTTGAAGAGTATCTGGAAGCTACAGCTGGTTCAAAATGCAGCCACATGGATGTTAGGTGCCCCCAGGATGGCACATGTAACACCTTTGCTGCGGGAGCTGCACTGGGTGCCAGTTTGCTTCTGGATCCAATTCAAGGTGTTGGTTATCACCTTTAAAGCCCTACATGGCATGGCATGGCATGGCATGGCATGGCATGGCATGGCATGGGTCCAGGTTACCTGAGGGACCCATTACATCAACCCATCCCACCCTGTCAGGCAGAGAAGACATCTTGCAGACCCCATCAGCAAGAGAATGTTGACCAAGCCCAGGAGGAGAATCTTCTCTGGCATTGCCCCTGCCCTTTGGAATATTCTCCCCCCAGAAGTGCGGCAGGCCCCTATCCTCCCGGGTTTCCAAAAAGGATTAAAGACCTGGCTCTGCCAGCATGCATGGGGCAACATGAACACTAACCATCCCTGGGAGTGGTTAGCGCCATGACAATAACATGGCAAGTAACAACAAGAAGTAAAAAGGGCATACCTTTTCTCTCCAGTTAACAAGTTTTGTTTTCAAGATCATACAAACTTAGTAGAATGTATAAATCTCTGGAAATAACTAATACAGTACTGCAAGAATCTACAATATATGGGGCAGGAGTTCCTAAACAGCAATCAGAGCCTTTATGTTGTAGCATCATTCCTTTCTCAATTGTTCCTTTTCCTCACCTGCATGGCTGCGAGAACTTCAGGGTCACTAAGAATTTCATTGAGACCAGGCATGCTTCCCATTCCAGGCATGCCACCAGGGAAACCACCTGCAATCATAAGGAATATGTTTATAGAAAAAGCATTACAGGGGACTATATATTGATTACATGTATGTCATGTAATAATATTTTCCTATTCTTTGTGTGCCCAAGTCCTTGTTACAGTGCTTAGTATCACAGCCCTGGATAATTGCTACTAATATTAGAATATTTTATATATAAACTTCAGAAAAAAATACTTCTACATTTGTTTGATAAACTCAAGGTATAAAATATAGATTTCCTTTTTTCCACAGAAGCAAGTAATGCAAAACATTATGATCCCATTCACATGAAACTCAGTTTCTTCCTTTTCTATTTATTAATGTTTTGAGATGAACACACACCTGGGAAACCACCAAACTGAGGTCCTCCTGTCTGCCGACGAGCCTCTTCCTCCTGCAAACATGAAAATACTTACTTGGTCTCCAATAAGAATATGCAAAATCTACTATTTCAGAAATGGAACTTCCTATTTTTCCTCCAAACCCACACCAATCCAGCCATTCAGGGGTAGTTCAGCAGTTTACTGGAAATGAATTTTCCAGCTCCATTTGTCCACATTCAAACAAGCCAGCATCACAGGTTAAAAGGCAAACCATTTTAACTACAATCTGATCCATGGTTTGGGTTCTGATAGTATGGTAAAGTTAACCACCATGTAATTTACCATGCCAAGCAAATATGGTCAGTGGCTAGTCTCACATATTGTATTATTTGTTTTAATCATGGTTTGTTTGTTTATTTTGTACAGCCAGCCATCTCACCAAGTGACTCTGGGTAGCAAACAAAATTTAAAAAATAAAAACAATTAAAACAACACAAACTTTAAAATACATAACAGCCAAGAATAAAGCATCCATCATAATGATTAAATTAACCACAAAATAGGTCACTGCACCCACTCGGGGCCCCAGGCTCAGGCACAATGACTTGCTTAATATTAAACCACAACACAATGGCTTGCTCATTAAACCATACAACATGGTTTACACCTACAATACTTGGGCTTGCTCATTATGCTAATCTACAACTAATCAAATTACCTTGTGATATAGTATAAAGTGGGAATCTGGGTACTATTGGGCAAGAAGCCATTTTTATGATGTTTGGGAAAGCACAGACTTATAAAATATGAAACTATGTTCTTTTCCTAATATATATGTGTTATGCCTGTAGCTTGCACACTGCCAGACCTAAATATGCATCTTTTCAGGCAGACTGCAGATATCATTAATCCACACCAATTTCTACAGGGGATAGAGAAAAACTTTGGTTGTTTTAAATCTTCACAAGCAGAATTGGAGGAGGTAATAGAGGAAAAACAACTGGGTACCAGAGCTAAGAAACAAAGATAATACGCATAGGTCTCCCGAGCTTCTGGAGGAAATTCTTTCAGTTTCCTCCCTTGAATGTTATCTTTTAATTATCAGAAAAGGCAGCACAGCTCTCTCACACATCAGGGTTAGGGAGAAGATGCCAGATGAGGGGTCTTCTTGGAAGATAAGTGGTGGTAGTATAAATTACCAAGTTCCTACCTCAAAAGGTAGAAGATGGGCCCAGGGTATGAACTCTGGAAGATAAGGTTTGAGACCTCCAATCTTCCCCTCTATGGGCTCAACTATGCCACTATGTTTTTCAAGCTCTTACCCTTTGAGCTCTCTCATGTTCCTCTCGGGCTTTTTTTACTCTTTCCATTCTTTCTCTAATTTCTTTTTCTTCACGTTTTCGTTCATATTTTCTTCTATGTTCTGCAATCTTCTGAGCCTGAGGCACAAGAGGAATGAATAAAATTACTTGTCACACATATATCATTTATACAATGTAATTCTAGCATTCTACAACAACAATTTTTAATTTGCATGCTTCCAGTTCTCTCAAGAGCTGTAAGGTTATATTCAATAATAATTCTTCCCTTCAACATTGCAGCTCCAAAGTATGCTGCAGAATTGTCTAAATTTGGCAATAAACGACAGTCTTTTAGGTAAAAAATCAACTTCAACAGAAAAAGAATTAGAGCTTTTAAGGAGAGTTTAATAAAAAGAATAAGAATCTGCAAGTTTATTGGAAAAATGAACACACAGTTGCGCCAGTAAAACTCTTCAAAAGCACGCACATCTAGAACTCTACTAATGCTCTTAGTTTTCTTTGACGCACACCACAGAGCAAGGTAGCAAAGCATTAGAACCACCAATGCCTTAAGGATCTATGACAGCAAAAACAAAAATTCTATGAAGAGAAGCATTTTATTTTAACTCAAGAAATTTATGGCATTAAATATATAAAACTGATATAAAATATGGTGGAGTAATCTTATAGGTTTAAACTGAAATAGTTTAACCAACATATGATTTGAAGCAGACAGGCAAATTTAAGGCAATGAGTCATTTTTTTCATTCTGGTTTGAAGAATTTCTATTCTGAGCTTTCAAAACACAAAAAGGAGCATAATCCAATATAAAGCTCCAACCAATTTTGAGTGGCATAAGCTGACAATTCACAAGAGGACAAGAATTAGTGTTAAGATTATAATTAAACAGGCCAACCTGGACATCCCTCCTTCCTCAAGGAATTATGCTACAGTTGCTGCATAAAAATATTCAGAAAATTACTTTTAAAGTTTCAGCAAGACCTTAGGATACAGATTTAATATTTGAATTGGTCCTGAAAAATCACATTGAAACAGTGTTATAGAGTGGATGCCTCAAGGTAAGTCACTGAATTATCATGTTTTCAATTATTAGTTTCTAATGAAAAAAAATGCTTAGCAAAAAATGGTACTTTTGTTTGAGGAGATTATCAGGATGTAAGATTTTTCCACACATAGTTCATTTTGTAGAAGTTCTTCAGCAAGTTTTGTTGCATCTTGCATAAATGCAAGGCGAAAACCTGTCTCACCAAGGCCCAGCCTAGTCCACTTGTGTCTCTGCCTTGTGAAATTTGTAATTTAGTTTCAGAGGTGCAAGGAAGAAGAGGGGATATCTCAAGCAGCCTTCAGGGCAGCAGATTAGCAAGAACAGAAATTTCTTCAGTACAGTTCTTTTCTTAATGGGGAAAGCAGGCAAGCAAAAACCATGAAGTCTGTAATGCTGCAGAGGCATTTGTCACTTCCAGGAATCTTTTCCTTTACTTATAAGAGCCACTGAAGATAATGCAAGAGAAAAAGCTACAGTGGGGCAAAAAAGTATTTAGTCAGCCACCAATTGTGCATGTTCTCCCACTTAAAAAGATGAGAGAGGCCTGTAATTTTCATCATAGGTATACCTCAACTATGAGAGACAAAATGAGAAAAAAAATCCAGAAAATCACATTGTCTGATTTTTAAAGAATTTATTTGTTTCATCTGACCATATGACATTCTCCCAATCCTCTTCTGGATCATCCAAATGCTCTCTAGAAAAGCTACAGTGGGGCAAAAAAGTATTTAGTCAGCCACCAATTGTGCACGTTCTCCCACTTAAAAAGATGAGAGAGGCCTGTAATTTTCATCATAGGTATACCTCAACTATGAGAGACAAAATGAGAAAAAAAATCCAGAAAATCACATTGTCTGATTTTTAAAGAATTTATTTGTTTCATCTGACCATATGACATTCTCCCAATCCTCTTCTGGATCATCCAAATGCTCTCTAGAAAAGCTACAGTGGGGCAAAAAAGTATTTAGTCAGCCACCAATTGTGCACGTTCTCCCACTTAAAAAGATGAGAGAGGCCTGTAATTTTCATCATAGGTATACCTCAACTATGAGAGACAAAATGAGAAAAAAAATCCAGAAAATCACATTGTCTGATTTTTAAAGAATTTATTTGTTTCATCTGACCATATGACATTCTCCCAATCCTCTTCTGGATCATCCAAATGCTCTCTAGAAAAGCTACAGTGGGGCAAAAAAGTATTTAGTCAGCCACCAATTGTGCACGTTCTCCCACTTAAAAAGATGAGAGAGGCCTGTAATTTTCATCATAGGTATACCTCAACTATGAGAGACAAAATGAGAAAAAAAATCCAGAAAATCACATTGTCTGATTTTTAAAGAATTTATTTGTTTCATCTGACCATATGACATTCTCCCAATCCTCTTCTGGATCATCCAAATGCTCTCTAGAAAAGCTACAGTGGGGCAAAAAAGTATTTAGTCAGCCACCAATTGTGCACGTTCTCCCACTTAAAAAGATGAGAGAGGCCTGTAATTTTCATCATAGGTATACCTCAACTATGAGAGACAAAATGAGAAAAAAAATCCAGAAAATCACATTGTCTGATTTTTAAAGAATTTATTTGTTTCATCTGACCATATGACATTCTCCCAATCCTCTTCTGGATCATCCAAATGCTCTCTAGTAAATTCTTTAAAAATCAGACAATGTGATTTTCTGGATTTTTTTTCTCATTTTGTCTCTCATAGTTGAGGTATACCTATGATGAAAATTACAGGCCTCTCTCATCTTTTTAAGTGGGAGAACTTGCACAATTGGTGGCTGACTAAATACCTTTTTGCCCCACTGTATATCCTATTCCGTAATAATTTTCAATGAAGTAGGCAGAAACATGACAGGCTTAGGGTCACTTGATCTACATACTCACCCTGGGATAACATAACACTGGAGAAAGCATCTTTATATACACAACAGCAAACAAGGACAGGGGCTGTAGTTATCAGTTCAATGTTATAGAAATAAGAACTATATACATTCTT